TACGTTAAAAAATAATCAATTAATTTTTCTCCGTCCTTTAATCTAGTTATCAGTCTTTGAACTTTACTTTTAGACGGTAATCAATTAAATAAGTCTTAGTTTTTTATTTTTTTCTGCAAATCGGCTCAACACTTTTTTGGCTGAATTTTTTTTTTTAACAATGTCATTCTCTATGTTGAGCAGTGACATATAAGAAAATCGTTCCTGAAGCATTGTGCTTCTAAGCCACGTTTTTATTCGCCTCATAGCAGGAAAACTTCTCTCGCCGCCGGCGGAACTCACTGGGAGTACTATTGCTGCTTGGAAAAGTTTATACAAGTTAGGGCAGTACTCTTTTTTAATATGCTTTCTCAAATTTTCAGCATTGATTTCGTCATTTTTAAATTCAAGCATGTTTTTCATTACCATCGCTTCAGCTTCTAAGGCTGAAGTATCAATTATTAAGATTTTTTTTGTAATTATTGATGAAATTCTCTCCGTTCTTCAAATCCAATTTTAAAAATGCGTCAACTGCACGAGCTAACGGTAAATTTTCAAATCGGCGTTTTAGATTTACAATGATATTATCAACTACTTGGTAGTAAATGTTGATCTTCCAGTAGTCTTCTGGTTGTGTATCGGCCGCCAAATCTAATGTATTGGTTTTGCCCACAGTTGACTCAGTATAAAAGTCCTTTTGTTGACGTTTCCGTTTTGAGACTCTAATAGGTTCTAGTGAAATCTCTTGCTTTTTAGCAAACTGTTCGATATCTGTCCAAATTTTAAACTGATTCCTGCATGCTTCAAAGGTACCTATAGTACTTGCTACGAGATCACTAGCCTGACCAAGAGTTGCATTTTGTGTCTGGAAAAATGTACTTAGTACATTCACTATAGCGAGAACTGAGTGAAATGTGTGTAAAGAGACGACAAACTCTGGTTTCGTAATAATCGTTAGCAATCCGAGTGCTTCTACCGTGTGCTTGTCTCGGTTATTATCGATCTCTTTTTCCAAAGCGAATTTAATTGCCTCATAATTTGTCAGTACTGCTTTCCAGTTTTCGTGGCGACAACTCCGTCTGGTAGTACTTAGACTCGCCATTTCACGGTTGGTATTAATTCCGAGAGTGCTTTGTATTTTTTTTTAGGCTGGCATGATGACCAGGTTGTGAGAAGTGGATATACAAAGCTTCAAGGCCGTTGAAAAATGTCTTTGCTAGTGAAACATTTGCACACGAATCAACAACCACCAGATTAAGTTTATGCGCTAAACAATGAATGTAAATTGCGTGAGGTTGAGTTTCTTCTATAATCGCCTGTAGGCCTCGATTTTGACCAGGTATGACGCTGATGCCATCATAAGACTGCGCTGGAATTGGAACATCACCTAAATGGTGTTAATTCAAAGTGTCTAAAATTAGTGTAGCCAGTCCTTGCGCATCTCTGGAGGTGGAACAATTAATGAAACCTATAAATCTTTCGACAATGTCCAGACCGTTCGGATATCTTATGGTGATTGATAATTTTTCTTCTTTAAAGCATCTGGCCTCATCCACACTCAAAGAAAAAAAGCCACATGCTTTAGCTTCTTTCACTATTTTCTCTAGAGTAAGGTTTGCTATCACGTCAATTATTTCATTCTGTATATTTGGGTTGCAGTAATTGTAGTATTTTTCAAAGTGGAGTGAAAATTTGTTATCATATTTAGGAAAAAATTGAGCAATTTCCAAGAAGTTACCTCTATTTTTAGAAGACGGGTCCTCTCGGTGCCCTCTTAAAGGGAATCCCTGACGAACAAGGGTCAGTACTATATCAATAAGTTTTGTCAAGTATTCTCTGTTTTGAATAATTTCTTCCTCTTGCTGTTTCATAAGTTGCTGATAAACATCTCCAACTGTCAGAGATTGACGGTAGGACACATACATTTGGCTGCATTCAGCGCGATGCGATGATTCTGAGTGTTTTTTAACGCTTCTGCTAGTTTCTTCCAGTCGTTAAAACCACTTTTTACAAATCTTTCATTTTGATCTCGTATATTTCCTTTGTTGAAGTGTCTGTATACGAAACAGTAGACTTTGTCTTCTTCTTTGCTGTATTCCAACCAGCTATTATATGATTCATAATATTTCGACGAAAACGATCTGAATTTTGTTCCAAATTTTGTTTTTGGGAAATC